CGCCCTTAATATCAGGCTTGAACTGTTTGGAGAACAACACTCGAGCACAGCTGACAGTTACCATTCACTCGGGATCACCCAACATGCACAAGGCGACTTTAATTCAGCTCTTCAATCTAAACAACATGCGCTTGATATCGGCCTTAAACTGTTTGGAGAAGAAAACTCGGGCACAGCTTACAGTTACCATTCCCTGGGCGTTACGCAACATGAACAAGGCGACTTCAAATCAGCTCTTCATTCTAAGCAACATGCGCTTGATGTCACCCTTAAGCTGTTTGGAGAAGACCACTCTCGTGCAGCTGATAGTTACGCTTCACTTGGGGCAACACAACATGCACAAGACGACTTGACCTCGGCTCTTCAGTCTACCCAGCGTGCGCTTGATATCAGGCTGAAACTGTTTGGAGAAAAACACTCAAGCACAGCTGACAGTTACCATTCACTCGGGGTAATACAACATGAACTAGGCGACTTTTCCTCAGCTCTTCAGTCTAAACAACGAGCGCTTGATATCAGCATTCAACTGTTTGGAGAAGACCACTCAAGCACAGCTCACATTTACCATTCACTCGGGGTAACACAACATGCACAAGGCGAGTTGACCTCAGCTCTTCAGTCTAAACAACGTGCGCTTAATATCAGAGTTAAACTGTTTGGAGAAGAACACTCTAGTACAGCTGATAGTTACGCTTCACTTGGGGCAACACAACATGCACAAGACGACTTGACCTCGGCTCTTCAGTCTACACAGCGTGCGCTTGATATCAGGCTTAAACTGTTTGGAGAAGAACACTCGAGCACAGCTGACAGTTACCATTCATTCGGGGTAACACAACATGAACTAGGCGACTTTTCCTCAGCTCTTCAGTCTAAACAACATGCGCTTGATATCAGGCTTAAACTGTTTGGAGAAGAACACTTAAGCACAGCTGATAGTTACGTTTCACTCGGGGTAACACAACATGCACAAGGCGACTTGACCTCAGCTTTTCAGTCTAAACAACGTGCGCTTGATATCAGGCTTAAACTTTTTGGAGAAGAGCACTCGAGCACAGCTGACAGTTACCATTCACTCGGGGAGACACAACATGAACAACAGGACTTTTCCTCGGCTCGTCAGTCGAAACTAAGTGCGCTATTTATTAGGCTTAAACTGTTTGGAGAAGAGCACTCGAGCATAGCTGACAGTTACCATTCACTCGGGGTAACACAAGATGCACAAGAGGACTTTTTCTCAGCTCGTCAGTCTGTACAGCGTGCGTATGATATAAGGCTTAAACTTTTTGGAGTAAAACACCCAAGTACAGTTGAGAGTTGTTATTTACTCCTTTTCACACTACAGCGTGCACTTGGTTTCAGGCTTATCATCATCATCATCATCCTCCTCTTCATTATGCTTATTATTATCATCATCATCATCATCATATACTTTATTTAAGTTTAGTTTGTATTTAGCTGGGTGGCTAATTGGGGACACTGTACTAAAAGTTAAGATATATGTTTATAGATACGATAAAAAAGCTCTGGCAGTTGTCCGTAATAAAGTTTTTATAAATGCATCGAGCAGATCATTTAAGATGTACATGTAATATATACATATCTGTCTGGATTCACAAAAACATAGCCGCAGAATTTTACTTGTCACTGATAATCTTGGTACAATTTTGTCCTAGAGCTAGCTTTCCACAAGGGTTTTCGTAGCTCAAATAAAAGGAAATAACTCTCCTGTATGCCTTTTGAGGCCTGGAAGACCGAATTTACCGTCTTTTCGTTGAATCATGAATCGTACAATTTAATTAAGAGTGCTTTTAACATGAAATTGGAGTCTTAATCAACACGAACGTACAGATATGAAAACCGCAGAGGAGAGCTGATCTACAGTTTTCTAAAACTTGTCATTTTATTGTTAGTTCTGCGTACATCGAAGCCTTACTTGGTAAAATTAAGAGCAACAAATCCTGTGGAGCGGATAATATCACACCAACGATTTTGAAGCCGTCTTCTCTATCGCTTGTTGTCCCTCTAACAAACTCTTAAATCACTGCATAGCAACCTCAAGGTGGCCAGATGAGTGGAAATTGAGCAATATTACACCAGTCTTTAAAAAAGGTAATGCATCGCTAGTGTCGAATTACAGACCTATTAGCATCCTCGAGAAGCAGTGATATGCTTCTGTATCCTCTCAGTAATACCGAAAATAATGGAGAAAGTCACGTTTGATCAACTGTATGATGCCTTTCAGCCAGTATTCTCCCTTAATATGTCGGTTCCTGCGTGGTCATTCATGTTGTACTGCCCTTATTAAAATGATTGATGACTGGCGGTGGGCTCTGGATTCAAAAATGTCGGCTTGCTCTGTTGCAATTGACTTAACCAAGGCATTTGACTCGATATGCCAGAATTTACTCTCAGCCAAGCTACATGCCCATGGCGTCAGTCATGCTGTGGTAGTTATACCTCTCCAACCGACAACAAAGAGTTAAAGTTAATGGAGTTCTGTCTGATTGGTCACCTGGCGTATGTGGAGTTCCTCAAGGTAGTCTCCTGGGACCACTCATTTAACATATTTATTAATGAATTGAACTTTGTTGCTCGAATTGCCTCCCTACGTCTTTATGGTGATGACACTACAATATACAGTTCAGCTACGAACACAACAGCATTGGAACTTTCTTTTAACGAGGATCTTCGGAAATTATCTACCTGGTTCTCTTCCAATTATCTGACAGTAAATCATACCAAAACTCAAGCTATCATTTTGGGAAATCTCAACTACGAACCTGTCCTTAGTATTGACAATTCTACCGTAAAAATAAAAAGCTTTCTGGAGATCCTTGGTGTCCACATTGACAATAAGCTCTCCTTCAAGGCCTACATATCAGCCATCTTAAAGAAGTTCTATGCTAAAATCCAAGTTCTGAGACGAATAAAGACACTGGTACCTTCTGATGTTGCTCTAATATTGTACAAGACATATCTTACCCCATCTGGAATACTGCAGTCCACTTTTGTTAGGGATAAACAATACTTTAGTTAACAAACTTGAAGCTGCTAATCATTATGCATTGAAGACTTTTAAATACTGGAAATGATTTAGATTACCACTCTATATTGTCCATAGCAGGAATGAATTCTTTGGAATTTAGAAGATATGAACAATCACTTTTATTACTACATAAATGTATTAAGGGAAATGGGCCCAGTTATATTTCTAATTTCGTTAAGTGCGTGTCTCACATTATAACTTAAGGGGAGGAGGTTGTATCCTTGTTCAACCCTCCTATAACAACCAATACTTCCCTAATTCGTTTACTTATAGGGTAACTCATCTATGGAACAGGTTACCCACAGTACACATGTTAAGCAGTCACCCAACCTAAGTGCAGTTCAAAACAATTTGGAGTCTATTAGTCTTTTAAATTTAAGGACAAGCTGTCTATGTAATTACTGTCAATCTTAAATTTTTATATTTTTGTCACAATTTTAGGTTAGATGTGTTTATATTTATAACTAAATAATTATTAGCTAGCTTGTTGGATAGTTGGATAGCATGATATATATAAAAGTGAAGAATGATCATCGCAGTTA